CCCCCCCCACCCCCCAGTGCCCCCTCCCCAGCAACCCCCTCGCCCCGGTACCTGCTGGTGGAGGCCAAGGCGCAGCGTCACCCCCTCGCTGCCCTGCTCGTCGTTGCTCTCAGTGCCGTGGAGGTGTTTGCTGAATTTGGGGAGCGGGACGCTGGGCTTCCCGTCCGGGTTGAACATGTTGGCCGGGGCCAGCACGATGAAGGCGTTTGTAACTGGCCCTGGGACGGGACCAGAGGAGGGGACGGGTCAGACTCGCCCCTGCCGCGGGTTTCCCTCTCACCTGGCAGCTCGGGCAGCCCCGGACAGAGCGTCCGACCCGTGGCACAGGCAGCTGCCAGGCTCCTGCCTCCCTGCCCGGCACCGGGGAGGGGGCAGAGCACCTCGCGCCGTCCTTGGCAGTGGGGCTGCAGCCCGGGCAGAACCAGCCACCCCTCAGCAGAACCATCCATCACCGCTCGTCTGGCAGAGCTAACGAGCACTTTAATTACTGCACTTACCCACCCAGGCTGCTGCTTTCTGTCAGCAGCCCAGTTTCTCTGCCTCACCTCGTGGAGGACGAGCAAACCTCGATGGAGAAGCCCCCTGCATCCCTGCTCTGACCCCTCCCATCTATCTGCAGCCCCACCACGGGGGGAGGGCAGCAGTTTCTGCCCGTCCCCCAGCGAACAGCAGGGCCTCGCTCTCCCCAGCACACCAGGAGGTTGGTGTCACCGCAGCCGCGGCAGAGGGGCCCGTGTCAGCTCTGCCTTGGGAGGGGATGGGCTCGGGGGACACCCGGAGGGGCAAGTGAGTGGGGCGGCTGCGGGGACTGACCTTGCTGGGAGGCTGATGGCACAGCTCAGAGGGGCAGCGAGAAGGGCCAAGGGGAGACGGGGACCCGCTGGGAACCGGCACTGCCGGGAAATTGCTGCCCCACAGAGGGGACAGGGGAGGCTGCGGGAGGGAGCCCACGCTCTGCGGCGGGAGGGCTCCCCTGCACAGCACCTCCCTCCCCGCTGCCGCGCTGGGACGAGGCGCCCAGCAGCGCTGGGGTGTCCTGGTGCCAGGGCTGCCGGGGAGCCAAGTCCCAGCCCGCAGGACGCAGCGAGCCAGCGGAGGCTGCAGAAAGCACCCGCAGCTCCTGGCCCCGGCACTCAGCGGCACCTCGGCCTGGTTCTGCGCCCCAGGGGCAGAACTTGTGCCCACCTGGGTCCCCCTGCAGCCTCGAGGAAGTTTTTGGTGCCTGGCTCGCAGTGAAAGCTCAGCTCCCCCCCTGCTGACTCACAGCTCGGGTTTTGTCTGCTTTCACCCCTCCGACGCTGGCAGAGCAAGGCCAGGTGGGCGCTGCACTGGGTCCCCTTGGCAGCACGAGGGAAGGAGCAAAGGGGCTGCAGGCAGCCGGGCATTCAGCCACTGCAGCTTCACAGAGGAACAGGGTCTGACTTCCCCCACCGTCACCTCTGGGGAGGGTTTAGGCAGCACCTGGGGAGCGACGCCGCCAGCGAGAGCAGGGAGACGGGAGACCGGCACGGTCAGGGCAGAAACCCGCTGCTACAACAGCCCCAGTGCACCGGGAGGGCTGCGGCTCCGCTGCGGGGCACCTACTGCTGGGCTGAGCCCGCAGAGGTTGGTTTGTGTGGCTCACACCGAAACCCTAGGTGGCTGCTGATACGAGATTCACCTCAGGCCCAGTGAGCTCACGGGCGCCTGGCGCTGGTCACAGAGTCAGTCTCCTCCCCAGACACATCCTCCCTCCCATGGCCTCCCCGGGCGCTGGGGTGCGTGTGGGGCAACGGCTGCCTTTGGAAAACAAGGAGGAAGATCCTGGATGTCCTCGGTGACGGGGTGAGATCTATGACTCATTCCCTGACAGCGCACAGGGCGGTTGTTAACAGACACGGGCAAGGTCAGAACATTCCTCCAGACCGCGGTGGCCCTCTAAGGCCTCTGCCCCTCCTGGGGGCGTGAAGCAGCAGCAGAGAAACGTCTGAAGTGCCCCGGGCAGCGTCGGAGCAGCAGGAGGTGGCAGCAGGGCACTGGCAGCAGAGCAGGAAAGGATCCCCGAGATAAGGACGTGCCTACCTTTGTGATTCATGGTCTTGAGGCACTGCTTGCTCTGGATGTCCCACAGCCGGACTGTTTCGTCGTGCGAGCCGGAGAGAAGCAGGCTGCCGTCCGTGGAGACCGACAGACACGTCACCTGGTTCCTGGAACGAGGAAGAGGAGGTTTAAACCCAGGATGACCCCAGGAGTGCCTGAAACCGGTGTGGGGGGCAGACGGGGGCAAGGAAGCGCTCGGCAGGTGTGTCTGGTCCCTCACCTGTGCCCTTTGAAGACCTTCCCGTTCTCCCGCTCTGTCTGGAAGGTTCGGTCCCTCTGCACTGGCTGCGGACATGGAGGAAGGAAGAGGGAAAGGGGTTTAAGCTCAGGAAGACTGAAGCCAGCAGGTTCCTTGCTGTGTCGGGAGGGGGCAGAGGGGATGCAAGGGACCCCAGACCCCCCACAGGGGGGAGCGGGTCTGTGGCTCACCCAGGCACAGAGGTCGACCTGGAAGATGGAGCCGTCCATCCCCCCGCAGAACATGTGATACTCGGAGAGGTCGAGCGTCACAGCCATGATCCCCACGTCGAAGAGGACAGAAAGCAGGAGCTCCCCAGAGGAGACTTCCCAGAGCTGGAGGGAGAGGGTACAGGAGAACTGGGGGCTTAAATGTTAACGGCAGAACCCAGGATCAGCCTCTCTGTGACCATGAGACAACAAGTTTCCCAGGCAGCTCCAGAAGAGCCTGTAACCCCCTGCAGTGCCTGTCCTGGCCCCCCTGGGACAGAGCCCTCCCTGCAGGGCAGGAACAGGCCGCGGGCTCCAAAAGGAAAGGACTTCAGCGAGAGGGATCAGAGGAGCCGACCCCAACATTCCCCCGGAGAGGAGAGGAGGGACTGCAAAGCACGCAGAGGCCCGGCCCCAGGGCAGGTGCTGAGAAACTGCTGGTGTTTGGAGAGGCAAAGCCCATTAGGTCTGGCAGCTCTGAGTCATCACAGAGACAGCCAAGAAATTCAGCTACTGCAACCCTCACTGGCTTTGCTTCGGCTCAGCAGAAACTCTGCTTTAACCCTGCGGGGCCCGCACACCTCAGACTCCTGCTCGGAGGGAGGGAGGGAGCCGAGCCTTACCTTGGCTGTCTGGTCAAGGGAGGCGGTGGCAGCTCGCGCCAAGGGCCCCCCAAAGCCACAGCACAAGTCTGTGATGGGGAGGCTGTGTCGGGACCACACGTGCCGAGGGTCAGGGATCTGGGAGGGCTCTGCCTGCAGCACGCTGGAGGGGAGAGCAGAGACACAGGCTGGCACGGCAGGAGCAACATGGGGGATGCCGGAGCAAGGGGGCTACGAGGAGAGCTGGCCCAGGCTCTGCTTCCCCCGGCACAGCTCTGCCAAGCCCCGAGCAGGACACAGCAGCCACCGGCAGCCCCAGCACATGCGGTACCGGGGCTGAGGGTCTGTCCCCCCGCAGAGAGGACAGAGGCCTCAGCTGCTCTCAGCAGGGAACGGGCACAATCCGCTCCGTGTCGAGTGAGGAAGAGAAGTCAGAGCCCTGTGCCATGGCCTGGGCAAGGCAGGTGAGACGCTGGGCAGCGAGCATGGGCTGTCCCCAGCAGCTTCACCAACGGCTCAGACACCTCACGGGCGCAGCTGGAGCCGGTTCTGTCACCGGGAAGCAGTGACTGATCTCGTTTGAATCTTCCTCGCCCAGACGCTCCCTGTCCCCCGTACAAAGGGGTTGAGGCCTCCCCGCGGGCAGCGTTACCTGTAAAGGTTCCACACCAGGGCCAGGCAGTCCTTCGCCCCTGACAGAAAGTGGCTGCTGTCATCGGTAAAGCAGAGGCACGTGAGGTCCTGGTAGTGTCGGTTCAGGATGGCCAGGAGGTTCCCGTTGGAGACCTGCGGCAAGGGGAAGGGCAGCAGGACGTTAAGGAAGGAGCACTGAGGTGCCCCGGAACACCACAGCATCCTGCCCCCAACGGCGGGGGGTGCGGCAGCACCGGCAGCTCCAGCCCCAGCTGGGCTGTGCCAGGCACGAGTGGAGCCGTGGAGCGAAGAGGGAAGGTTGTGTTGAGCACGTCTGCACCTCCCTGACGGGAACAGGCACCATCAGGGTGCAGCTGGTACCACCACATACACTTAGAACCAAAGGTAAACACAGCACAAGAGAGTTTAATGAGGTCCTGCCCATGCTAACTCTGGAATCTAGTGATGCCAGTGTTGTTTTTCTGGTCAAGACACAAGTGTGCAGTAAAGATTTCCTGTTTACTGTTAATGTCACTTTGTCGGCTTCTTCCAGCTCCCCATATCTGATGAGATGGCTGCGGGGGTTACGAAAGCTGCAGGAGGCTGTGTGGCACCCCAGGGGTTGTTGCACTTCAGCATGGCTGCATGATCTTGGGCAATGGGGGCTTTAGGGTGCACAAGGGGTGCCCCAAACCTGGAGCTTTTCTTGTTAAAAGGCAACGGTGCAGATGGGGAGGCAGCGAGGGAGCCCTGTATACCGGAGCGGAACCAACTCCCTCTCGTCGCCCGAATTACACCCAAACTCAAACTGCAGCTCGGTGGGAACACGTGGTCCAGGAGGCACAAAACCGGGGCTCGGGGCCCCCCTTCCCGCTCCCGGACGGTTCCTGGGCTGTTCCCTCGGCCGGGATGGGGCTGGCGCCCACTGCAGGCAAAGGGAGGGGGCACCCGCTGTGGAAGGGGCAAAGCAGGGCCCGGCTCAGAGCACCCAAGCGAGGGACTTGCACTCACCGCAGCCCAGCCTTCCTCCCGAGGGCTTTTTTTTTTTTCCCCCCAATGCTGCCACAAGCGCTTTTTTAAAAGAAAAATCTGATGAATTAAGATAGAGCCGCCCACGTAACAATGCTCTGAGACACGCCCTCCAGGACAGAGAGCTCCCTGGGTTAGACATCTCGGTGTTTAATCCGGGGCCTGGGACCAGTGTGTTCTTTTATTTGCTTGGTGAAGAGCTCGGAACGCAGCGTAATCCCCATGTAAATACGCCACTAATTAAGAACAGGAAGATGACCAGAGCGCAGCAGTCCCCGCGGAGCCCAGCTCACACGTCACACACCAACCTCGGGCTCAAACGTGGGGGAAGCGCTAAAGGAAAACGAGATCCTGTGTTTCTGCTCTGAGGGAGCAGCACCTGACCCGAGGCACCCGCAGCAGCTTGGGAAGAGAAAGACCAAACAGGCCTAAGCCTCGCCTAGCACCTCCCACCACTGTTTCGCCCCCGCTGCACTCTGGCGAGCTGCCCCTCGCTCTGCACCCCATGGAGGCCCCCCGGGACCCACGGCAGCTGCCGAGCAGCCGGTCCCAGCCCCAGTTACAGCTGTAACCTACATGGCCCAGCAACGCTTTTGCCCCACTGTGGAGCCCAGATAACGTGGATTTACTGACTCCTGACGGGACAGGGGCACTCGCTAACGCTCCAGGAATCTCTGCACACACCCCCCGTGCCAGCCGGCAGCCCCTCACCTCCCACAGGTAGATGCTCTCAGCAACCCCTGCCAGGATGTAGAGCCCGTTGGGAGAAGCCGTCAGGCAGGTCACCGGCCCCGGGCATATGATCTTCTGCTGGAGCTGGTCCTGGGGGCAGAAAGAACAGAGAGGCTGTTCAGTCCAGGCTGGAGCACGAGAGGGAGAGAGAAACAGGACCCTGGTTCAGCTGAGATCCAGCGATACGCTGCAGGAGGGCACCAAGAGGCACGGGATGGGGACGCAGTTACGCTCCACAGATGGGGAGCCCCGGAGATTCACCACAGAACAGGCTCAGCAGATTACAGCAAAATAACATTGATAAAAAATAATAATAAAAAAGATGACGCGAGCTTACAGCCTGGGAGAACAAGCAGGAGGTCTGACAGCAGCTCCTCACAGCTTGGGGGAACTGGAAAAAACAGACCCCGGGCCGTGGCTGTGAAACCCAGAGGTGGCTGCTGCTGCTCCCTGCAGCCTCGCGGAGGGGGACAGCGGGGACGGAGGGACGAGGGCTGGTTGCTGCTGTCCCACCGTTTGAGCCCCAGGGGATGCTGGCAGGAGCAGCATTAGGAGGAAGACGAGGAGGAGGAAGGGGTATGGCTGCGTAGAGATGGGGGAGGTTTGCCCAGCTGCATTCTGGCTGGAGCAGGCCGAGGAGATGGGGGGCTGGAGGCGAAGCGGCCCCGGGTGCCCACATCCCCCCGGAGCCTCCCTCCATGTCCTGGTCGCGTCACTGGGCAGCCCTGGGAGCCGAGACACTCCTTCCCAGCCTCGGG